AGACCTTCCCCACAAATGTCATCTTGCATATATGTATGTGTTTGCATATTCCTGTATGTGTATATGTGTGTAGGCTCCTGGAGGGCTTTGCATTTGAATTGTCTAGCACCATGTCTGGTACACAATAGGTGCCTAATAAATGCTTATTGATAATAAAAAGGTGTTTTGGCCACTATGATCCTAAAGGTAGTGAGGGAACACCTGGCTACTCTTGCTTATTTATTTATTAATTTTTGCTGAGGCAATCGGGGTTAAGTGACTTGCCCAGGGTCACACAGCTAGTACGTATCAAGTGTCTGAGGCCGTATTTGAACTCAGGGCCTCCTGACTCCAAGGCCAGAGCTCTATCCACTGGGCCACCCAGCTGCCCCTCATTATTGATGACAAAACTGGGGGTGGGAATAACTAATGTGCTAGATGACAGAGATAGAGATAAAAGAAATCTTTGTGTGTATATCTCTATCTGTCTGTCTGTCTATCTATCTATCTGTCTATAGATACAGATACAGACATATAGTCCAGAACCCTGGACCAACTTCAATGAGATGAATTTTACTAGAGAAAAATATAAGCATGGCATACTGGATAGAGAGGTGACCTTGAAGTTAGGAGGAACTGGGTTCAAGTCCCATTCCTGACGTATATCGGCTGTAAGACCATGGGCAAGTCTCTTAATTTCTTAGTCAACAAGGATTTACAATGGGTGAAGTACTGGGGATACAAATACAAGCCCAAAGGAACAATTTCCACTCTTAAGGAGCTTTCATTCTAGTGGGGTGAGAAAACATACAACAGGGCAGTTGAAAGGGGGGAGTTACCCCATAGGGATATGGTGGTTAAGACTGGAGAGTGAGGGATAGTTGGTCTAGGGCCCTTCTCCAATATGGAGGTTCTGGGAAGAACCCACCCAGGGCAGAAGTCACAAGGCTAGTCATTGGCAAGGTTAGGACTTGAACCCAGGGAAGAAAGGCTGCCTGTGGTAATGCTGCATGACCTGGGATGGAGACTCTTTCCTCCAAAATGGTGGAGTTGGACTTTTCTTTCGTGAGGCAATTGGGGTTAAGCGACTTGCCCAGAATCACACAGCTGAGGTCGGAATTGAACTCAGGTCCTCCTGACTCCAGGGCCCGTGCTCTATCCACTGTGCCACCTAGCTGCCCCAAGTTGGACTTTTCTAACCCTTCAGCATCTTGTTCCTTTCGACTTCTCTGAGACATAGCAGTTCATGCCCATTCTTACACTCTGATCCAGGCACACTGAGTAGCTTTGTGGAATGTTAGGGACTGGGGACTTCTCCTGGCTTGATATCTTTGCACCTTCTGCCACCTTTACCCAGAATGCATTCCCTCCTCATCTCTGCCTCTTTGACTCTATAGATTCCTTCTGAACTCATATCTTTTCTTTGCCGTTGTGTTGCATGGTTTGTTAATCCAATAGACCCTTGCTGTTATAATACTGTACATTTATCAACTGCGCTAATATTTGTGTATTACCGTGGGCACAGATGGAGCAATCTCTAGAAAACGTGGGAGCCAAGATGGTTGAGGGTTGCTGTCTTGCTTTGGCAGGTGAAAAGTGTAGAGGTATCCTAATATCAGGAGTAGACCCAGACCTTAAGAGTGAAGACTTTTTAAAGATATTGGGCAGAGAAGTGATAGGATTGGAGGAGTGTACAACCAAGACCACTCACTGAGTGAAGGCAGATAAGGTAACTCACTAAGTTTTTCTGTTCCTCCTTGAGAGTTTTGACCATAGAGATCTACCTGAAAAATAAACAGTAGGAAGTTATTCCTGAGAATTGCATTCTTACCTATCCTCTGAGGATGAGGAATTGCACCCTGATAATAAGAGGAGGCATTCCTGTGGAGAGACTGAATGTCACAATTATACCCAAGAATTCTGTTCCATCTAAGGTGCAGACCATGCCCCCCTGTGGTATCCAGCTACCTATAACCCCAAAATGACTGAACCACGTACCCCAGGAGAACAGTCCTGGGAGGTTTGGGTTGGACAGGCACTGCCTGGGACAGTGGAAGTCCCCTCAGGCAGACAGAATGATGAGACCGTCAGATAGCCCAGTCAGCTGCAAAGGCAGGGAGTACCCTCATAAAGGCAAGGCCAGATGTTACTTGGTAGGAATCTCCGCAAACTTTAGCTCAGATTTTTTTTTTTGGGGAGGTGGTGGATCAGAAGACCCTGATGCCAGCTTTGTCTTCATTGTGGTTATTGTTTTGTCCTTTATTTTTGAAAAGGACCAGTGACATCATGGAGTGGTCTTGACTTGTGCTTGTGAATTGGACTGAACTGAGTCAGAGTTGCACCAAGTCGTCAGCCTCATTCTGTCTTCCAGAGTCATCAAAGTCTAGTGTCGAGATAAAAATCCAGAAGACTGGTGATGGCCCCGGGGGGGCAGTGGATGACTTGGGCATCTTCAATGTCTGATCAAGCTTGAGGCGCCCACAGCACCTTCGTGGCCATTGGAACTAGTCTCTAATATTGCACAGCAAGAAGAAAAAACCCTATTGGATTCCTTCTTACAGAGGAACAATTTGTGCGGAGACCAAGAGAGATGGGCTGTGTGCCCTGAGAGTGTAGGAAAAATTATCCCGCAGGAGCTGTTTCTGGGTTTGGTGTCTGACCCTCATGCATCTGGTGTCTCCAGATTGATGCAGACACGGAAATCATTGCCAGTGATGGTCAAAGTGAGGGCAGTGCTCCTGAGCTTCACAGGTCAATATAGCCCACAGTGCTCACCTCAGCACACTCCAGGCTTTCTCAAGTGAGGGCCACGGGGCAAAGTTGGGCAGGAGCATCACCTATGCTGAGCTGCAGTCCCAGAAGCTGAGACAGTCAGGTGAGAGAGAGAGTAGTGTGCAGTCCTATTCTCCTTGGAGAGGCAGAAGGCCGAGGAAAAGGGCATGAAAGCCTGACATAAGACCACTTTTTGTTGTGATGATGGAGTAGATGGCCATCATTGTATTGGACATACTAGCAAAGAGAGTGCAGCCTTGGTCACAAAGAAATTCAGATTTCCTGATCTAGTTTCAGAAAATTGGAGTGGACTCAAAGAAAGAGCTTAGCCTAGGTCCCAAGAACAGTTACATTGACCTCATCATTAATTCCCAGTGGGTCTGTTCCACCTGAATTCATTAGACCTTGCTCAGAGGTGATAGTAAAAATTGAGAATGTGGCTTGCAGTGCTGTCCTGGATGGTGGACCTCAAGTTACTGTCATCTTCAATTTTTTTATGATATACGTTCAGCTAAAATGCCTTTAAAGTCTACGGCAGGGCTAGGACTTCACAACAAAGACTGTCCATACCTGGGATACATTCTGGTAAGCTTGAAGTTCCACAAGGAAGTTGTTGGTGTCAATAGAGAAGTGGACACTCTGGCTCTGGTACGTCCAGACTCTTTAACACTCACTGGAATACCAGCACTGATTGGAACTATTCCTAGTCTTTTCAAAATTCTTGTAGGATCCTGCAAGTGACAATGTGGGTGGGGGCAGAAGAGACAAGCTGTCTATGCTTCCTTCCTTCGAGTCGCATGCACAAGGAGAGCTCCTCACCACTAGCGGGCACCTCTACTCATGTGGGGCCCATTTCTGCTACTAAGAACATTTAGCAAAGGCTTATTTTCAATAAAGGATATTACTTTTAAAAGATTTTACTATAAAATCTTCAATAAAGAATATTATTCAATGAAAAAGTGTGTGTGTCTGGAATTATGTATATGTAATTTTTTTTGTTGAAGAGGAAGTACAATGGAGTGGGCATCACAATATTTCAGAGGTTCTATGGACTTAATAATAATAATAACTGACATTTATATTGTACTTAGTAAGTACCAGCAACTGTGCTGAGCACTTTACATTTATTCCTTACAACAGTCCTGGGAAGTAGGTACTGTTATCAACCCCATTTTACAGATGAGGAAATGAACACTGACAGAGCTGAGGTGACTTGCCCAGGGTCACACGCTTAATAAGTGTCTGAATCTTCCTGACTCTATCCACCAAGCCACCTACCGCTCCCTCCTCCAGTCTGCTTTGATTTGATTGGAAAAACCCTCCCAGGGGAGAGAAACCAGTGAAGCTCCCAGAAGCACAATGGAGTGATTAATTAGAGGCAGTTAGATGACATAGTGAATAGACTGTTGGACCTAGAGTTAGGGAGACCTGAGTTCAAATCCTGCCTCACACTTACTAGCTGTGGGACACTAAGGAAGTTACTTTACTTCTCCCAAACTCAATTTCTCTATCTACAAAATGGGGATAGTAATAACACCTGCCTCCTAAGTTGTCATCAGGAGCAAATGAAATGCCATACTTAAAATGCTACATATACTAATATTATTTATCTATTTTATGTTACCTGACACTGTCAATGAATTACAGTGGGTGGTTTTGTCCCCCCACCGTGCATAGCCTGAGATTCAGAGATGATTGTCTCATGGGAGAAATGGTTTCCCTGATTCTATTCCAGGATGGGGCTGAGATGAGTATAGTTTCTGCAGTTTTCCAGAGTGTATTCCCTAGCATGCCCATTAAAATGCCTTTGAACCCAGGGAATGAGAGACTTGATAAGGACATGAGCCAGTAGCAGAGAGTGCTGGGGGTTGGTATCTCTGTCTCCCACTGAACCCAATGGGCATTGCATCACATGCCTTCTCCCCACAAGAGCTGCAATAGCAACTCCAGTGATTGATGTTAACCCTAGCAGGATGTGGAACCTGATGCATTTGCACAGTACGGGCCCAAAGTGCCCCAAGCTTACCATTGAGGCTGTCTCAGCCTCCAGGGCTCCTGGCCCTCTCTGAAGCAGTCCTCAACCATGATTCACCTTCTCTTACTGGCCTTCCCCATCAGCCTGGGAAAGTCCTTGGAGGAAATCGAGCTCTCACCTTGCAGCCTTGGCAGCCTGAGCCAGTGTTCCTCAAGGACCTGCCACTCTCAGGTCCTGGGGACCTTTCCAGGCTGCCCCCTTTCCCTCCTGAGCACCAAGACCTCTCTGGGCACTGGGATTGACCCATCTCAGCCCTAGAGAATCAGAAGTGACTGCATACCCAAGAAGGCTTCCCGGCGCTACCAGTCTGGGATTCTCAGGTATGGAAGCAAAGGCTTGGTGGAGGGGATGCCATTCTCCATTCCCAGGAAGAACCACGGGGGCTCTGTTCTAGGACAGCCTGAGAGAGGAAGAAAATACCTCCCTTTGAGGAGTGGGCTATATTTCACTTGGGAGGGGGAAGCCATCCTGCTGAGCCATTAATAGAATTATAGAATTTCCCCCTCAGACGTGCCCTCTGTGCCAATTCAAACTCCACTGGAGGGCCCCTTCACCACCACTCAGATGCTTCTTGGTCAGAGGGCTCTAATGGTTAGGGTGCTCTTCCTTATATTAAGCTGAAATCTGCCGCTCTGAAATCTTCCTCTTCCTCATTTGCCCCTTGGAACCACACAGACCACGTCTTTGTTGCCACAGCAGCCCTTCCTATCATGAAAGCCTTGAAATGCTAAACGGAAGGATTTGTAATTTATACTCGGGGAACTGGGGAACTACTGAAGCTTCTTGAGTAAGACCAGTGTGACATTGTAGGAGCTTTGATTTAGGGATCTCCCTTCAGTAACTCTGCAGGGCATGGATTGGAGACAGGGAGAGACCAGAGTCAGGGAGCCTCATTAGGAGGCCATTGCAACATCCCAAGTAAGAAGTGATAATGGTCAGAACTAGGGTTGTAGCTGTGTGTCTGGGCAGGGAGTGAGATCAATAGTAAGTGAGCATTTATTAAGCACCTACTGTGTGCCAGGCACTGGGATATAAAGAAAGAGAAGAGACAATATTTGCTTTTAAAGAGCTCATAGTCTAATTGGGGAAGACAATAACACAACGGTTATGGACAAACAGGAGATAGACAGGAGAAATGGGAGATAACCAACACTGGAAAGAGTGAAAGGACTGCTCTGCCGTGGTGAAGGTCCAGTTGAGATCACTTATGGCTGATTTATGGTGGACATGGTCAACGTGGCTGGGTGGTTGGCTCCAAAGGGGCTCAGCAGCATGGGGGCAGAAATGGAAAAGGCAGGTGGTGGGAGCATCAGGGCTGGACTTTAGAAAGAGGAAAGTTGTGACAGAACGAAGGATTTGAGGATTTCAGGCAGCCTAAAACTGCAGGGGTAATTCTGGGGGAGTCTTTCCCAGACGTGGCTCCTTCTGGACCTCTTCACACTAGTCTTTGGTCTTGGAGGCTACACCTGGTGTCTGAGATCCTGGGCCTTTGCCAGTAGGCTGGAAGGCTGACATCCTGGCTCCTTAGTGGTGGGGCCTACTACCCCGAGACCCTGGGCCTTTCTGGCACAGGAGGGCTCAATGAGAGGTGTTCTCCATTTCACATGTTTCAAAGTGGAAAAAAAGTGAGTCCCGGGTGACAAGGAAGGAGGTAGCAGTTCCGGCTACCACATCCTGGGCCGGCCCCTAGCTCTCCTGCCTCCTCCTCTTTGCTCAGTTAAAGTCAGCAGCTCTGGACTGGATGGAAGGCCCAGCATGTCCTGCATACTCATTTCCCTACTCGGCCTCGGTGAGTCTGGGCCTAAGCTAGAGCAGGGAGGAGGACATTGGGGGAAGATCATTCATCGGGAGATTTCAGGTCGAGAGGGACACTGAGTCACAGAGAGAAGTGTCCTGGACAGAACAGAGGTCAGATATTTCTGGCTCGCTCCTCTGTCGCTGACCAAGGATGAATTAATGAGGAAAAAGCCTTGTGGGCAGAGGTGTGGAGGAGCAGCTGGAGGGCAAGGCATCTGCAATCTGGCCTTCTCTTATAGGGCTAGGCCTCGTCCAGTTGACAGAGGTGCAGAGTGGTAAGTCCTTTTCCCCAAACTCCTCCTCCTATAGCCTAGCTCAGCCCCAGAGCAGCCCCTGAGCCATCGGGAAGGTAGGACAAAGGCATGTGGGATGAATTGATGGAGTGATTGTGGGAGAAGCCTGGGAAACTGGATCTGAAGGAGCCAATGAGGAAAGAGCAATCCCAGGAAACCCAGGCTCAGCTTCTCTCCCAGGCATTATCCCTTAGGCCCTCCCTTTGGGCTAGGCCCAGCTCTGTGGTTTCTTGGGAGAAGCTGTGACCCACTGGTGCCAGGGACCACTAGAGAATCAGAGCTTCTAGCTGTTGAAGGTGGGAGATGGCAGAGGCCAGAGAAGTTCCAGTAGGCAAGACATTGACCTCTCCCTTGGAAGAAAGGAAATCACTGCCATGTAGAGACTTAGGGCTGCCCCTATGGGCAGGAGACCTGATGGTTAGAACTAAGTGACCCCTTGCAGTGCCTGGTGACATGTGAAGGCAAATGAGCTTAGAACCTTCTTGGACAGTGCTGGCTGCCCTTCTTAAGAACTCTGCCCGAGAGACTGCTTTGTCAATGATTTAGCCCCCAGCCCTGACTTCCTGGGGTGGTTACTCCTGAGGCTTTGTGGCCTGCCACCAGCCTTTTGTCCTAACTCCCAATCCCCACCTCTGTGTATTCTGGTCCTCATGTTCCCCATCTCTTGTAGCCCAAGAGAAAGGAAGTCACTGCTCCCCTTTAGTCCAGAGGGACCCAAGAGAACTAGTCTTTCTTTTAAACCTCAGGCCCTGTCTACTGGGAAGAGCAAACCTTTCCACTGAGTCCTTTTCTATCACAGGAATCCTGTCACCTCCCTATAGCCCACCTTTCCTGGGGGGAGATGCAATGTGGTGTAGTAGGAAGAACAGTGAATTTGGGGTTAGGGGCCCTTAGTCTAAAGCCTCCCTTTTTCTTTCACTATTGGTATGGCCTTGGGCAAATGTCTTCATGTGTAAAACAAAGGGATGGGACAAGAGGGGCCTTTTAGCTCTATATCAGGCATCCTGGGGGCCATTGTTGTCTTCTGCTTCCCCTATGTTTCTCTTTCCTTGCTTGGTTTCATGGTCTTTCCCGGTTTCCCTCACCTTCTGCCTTGACCCCCATGGTTTCCTGTTCTTGGAATGCCCTTGCCAGCTGTGTCTGCCTCAATCCCACCTATCACCAGAGCCCAGCTCAGGTTCTGTTTCTTCCAAGCAGCATGAGACAGTAGATGGGGAACTGGATGAGAAGTTAAGAGGACTTGGGTTCCAATCCTGCCTCAGACATTTACTAGCTCTGGTGCCCTAGTCAAGTCATTCACCCTCTCTACACCTCAGTTTCCTCATTTGTAAAATGTAGCAGTTGGCCTTGAGGACCAGCCCCAAATCGATGATCCTATGACCTTCCTTGAGGGCTCTCATCAGTGACCATGTCCTTCCAAGATTTGCTGGTTGCATCTCTGTTCTGTATCAGAGGGTAGCAGGGGAGATCAGGGAAGCCTGGATTCCCCAGCATGGATCACAGTCCATGGTACTGAATGTGTGCTCTTGCTATGGGCTGAGGCACAGGAGTCTGTGAGCTGCTCACATAGAGCATGCCTGAAGTGAATATGAACTCGGTGTCTGGGAGTTTCACACAGCCTTCTGGTTGGAGTATGCCAGTGATGGGTTATTGAGATATTCATGACTCATCCAACTGTTCTTTGAATCTTTTGCTTCTCATGCAGTCTCAGCAGTGGGAGAAATAAACAGCTGTTCCCCCTGGACAGCCATAGTGAGTACTTTATCCAGAAGGGTCCCTTTGATTGGCTTTTGGGGAGACTCTAGACATGAGTGATACCTAAGCTTTATCTGAGACATTTTGCCAGAATTCTAATCCAGGGTAAAGTCAGTCAGAAAGAAACCTGGCAACCACCTCCTTTTTGAGATTAGTACCCCTGATGCCAGGACTGAACCTAGCTTGTGTGAATCCCTTGTTGGGGAATCTTCTGGGGTGTGAGGGGTTGATTTGGAACCAATGCTTGGTTCTTATTTCTTTGGGGGGAAAGATCCACAAGTCTTTGTGGTTCATCTGGATTTGCTCAATTTCTTTTTGAGCCAGTGTGTTTTTTCTAGCATGGGGTGAGTCCAAACCTCTCTCTGCATTTACTGGAATCCATTGAAGAAGTTTATTATTAGGTAGCAATAGTGCGTGTGTGTGAGTGTGTGTGTGTGTGTGTGTGTGTGTGTGTGTGTGTGTGTGTGTGTGTGTAATTCTCACCCAGAACTGTTTGGTTTCTCACCTGAGGGTGGGATTTTTCAAGTGATCTCAGCTCCCAAGCCTTTGTTGTGAGTCTCACATGGTCTAGGAGTTCTTGGAGGGTCTCCCAGTTTAGTAAATCAGAAGTTCCTCAGACTCTGACTGCCACCTAATGTAGGGTCTAATCTGATTTTGAGTCTACCATTCTGTGGTACCATGTGAAAGAGAGCAGTGTGGTAGGAGGAGGCTGAGAAGCAGAGTCTAGACTGCAGATCTCTGTTTCTCACAGATGGGGCTCTACAGAGGATTGAGCATGGTGTTCTGGGGGCCAGCTCCATCATCTCTCCAATACATCTCTTTATCTCCTCTGCCCTCATGCCTGAACTATTATAATAGCTGCTGGGGGTGGGTGGGGGGGAGTCTGCCTGCCTCTCCTCACTCCCATCCATTCTTTCCTCAGCTGTCAAAGTAGTCTGACCAGGTCACTCAGTGAACTCCGGTAGCTCCCTATCACCTCCAAAATCATCTATAAAATTCTGTTTGGCACCCAAAGCTCTTCCTAACCCTGCCCGTTTCCCCCAACCTTTATGATATTTTTACACCTTCCCACCCTTGCCCCCACCCCACAAATTCTTTTATCCGGTGACACTGGCTTTGTTGCAGTTCATTTACCAAGACCCTCACCAAGTCTCCCTCCTTGTTCCTCTTCCCCTCCTGCTCCCTGTTTTTCTCTCTCCTTCTCTCTCTTTCCCTCTGTCTCTTTGCCCTCTCCTTTCTTTCTCACACACTGCCCCAGAATCTCTTCCCAAGCCATCCCTCTCAGCCCTGCCAGGGCCTGTGGTGGCATCAGGGGGGGAGCTGACCCTGTCGTGCAGGAGGCCGCCAGAGCCATTTGACTGGTTGCTGACATTCAGTCTACTGAAGTCAGAGACCCAGGAGCCCTTACAGAAGGACCTAGTCTATTCTCAAGCTAACTTCTCCCTAAAGTCTCTGGGGGTCCAGGACTCTGGGAACTATAGCTGCATTTACTACGAGCAGTCAAGACCACATGTCAAGTCTGAGCCCAGTGATGCCCTGGAGATCTGGGTGACAGGTGAGAGAGAGCAGGTCCAGGACTGGGGACCAGAGCAGGTGCTGGGATCTTGGGGTGAGAGGGTGAAAGGACAGTTTTGGAGAGGTCAGTGTGAGGAGCTATTGTGAGTGCCATGGGAGGAAAGAGGGGTGCCAAGGGAGGAGGCCGTGTGTGGAGGGACTGCCCTAGCCAACGCTGAATGAGCTAGGATGGAGGCAGGAACAAAGTCTTTATTCCCAAAGAAAGAGGGAGCTTTAGCATCTGCCCCCTCCAGGGCATATCTAGCCTCTCTCTAACCCTTTGGTATGGAGGCAGTGCCCTGACCAGAAGGTGGGCCAGCCATGGAGCCATGCTGGCATGCTACTGACCTCACTCCCATCTCGCAGAGGACATGCACAGATGCCACCACTGAGGACTTTCTAACGAAAACCTGGGACCTCAGGGTGGTGGATGAGGCACTCTGATACTCTGAGAAGGATTGGAGTAGGGGGTGAACTCAAGCACTGTAACAGAAAAGAAAAAAATCTAGGTTTTTCTTAGGGTTAGAGTTAGGTTCCCCATGAGGGGGGAAGGGCAGAGAGGGGCTGGAGAGGGGAGAAAAAGGGACAAGGAAATCCATCCTAGGCTAGCTAACTCCCTTCTTCCCTAGAGAAGACTTTGAGAGCTCTGCTCTGTCTGCTTTCACCTGCAGACACCCTTCCCAAGCCGTCTCTCTCAGCCTGGCCCAGCCCCATGGTGGCCCCAGGGGGGAACGTGACCCTCCTGTGCCGGGGGCCACGTCGGGGTGTGAGGTTTGCTCTGTACAAGGATGGAGAGGAGGCACCCGTGGGCACCAGTGAGTGGACTCAAGACGGAGCTGAATTCCCTTTGACCCATGTGAGCATCAATCAGAGTGGAAGGTATAGGTGCTGCTATCTGCTTGTGACAGACAGCCCTATCTTGGCCCTGCCCAGTGACTCGCTGGAACTTGTAATACAAGGTGAGCGGCGGCCGCTTGAAAGGCCACCTGGAGAGCGACTAGGCTTAGCCCTTCTCCAAACTATCGCTCTGTAGCATCAGGCAATTGGCCCCATTAATCCCTTTGCTTCTCCCCTAGAGACCCGGGAAGAGAGAAAAGAAAGACGCTGTCCTTCCCTTAATTCCAGAGCCGTTGGGACCATGCTTGACAGCTGGTTGGGGGGCAAGGGTTTGCTCTCAGAATTCCCAGTCCTGTGATCTTAACTCTTCCATTTTATTTTCTAGAGGAGCGGAATGAAGGCCTTCTCAGAAGAGGTAGGGCTTCCTGAGATGGAGAAAGGAGTCAATGACTTCCCCGGGTCTCAGCTCAGCTCTTTGGTTGGAGTGTGGTGGTGTGGGGTGGCAGAATGAGCGGCAGTATAACTTGTGAGAGGATAATGGAGCCTCATGACTAATGTCTCTACTTCCCTCCCCACCCCCATCACGGAAATCAAAGGCATTCTCACCACTGCCCTCAGCTGTGCCTCCATCCTCTTCCTCCTCCTCTTCTTGACTTTTGTTGGTCATTGCCACACCCAGACTGGTGAGTTTGGGGAGGAAAAAAGGAAACTCAAAGGGAGTTGAGGGATTAAGTAGTATGAGGGCCACTGGGACCTCAGCCTCTTCAGCTGTGAAAGTGAGAGCTAGCCTTAAATCATCTTTAAGATTCCTTCCAGCTCTAAATCACAGGTGGGTGATTGATCCTGGCCTCCCTCTTTCTCTCTCATCAGTGGTTTCAGGTGGAGAGACCTCCAGAAGGTAGGGAGATTCAGCTCACCTTCCCTTGCCCCCTTGATCTGGAACGGGGTGGGGAACGAAGGACGTAGAAGGGCACGTGTGGCCTGCAGGCCGCAGGTTCGGCACCCCGACCTAGCACCTCAGTGTGATGTAGGATCTTCTATAATGACTATGTCGGGGAGAGGGCTCCTCAGCCTCATCCTATTTTCTCCTCATAGATTCCCAAGGTGCCCCTATTGTTCTTGGTTTCTCTGCTTTTCTTCTAAATCTGGAGCTCCCCAAGAAGAGACCGAATGTAAGTGATTCAGGTAGGGGCAGGGCTGGCATGTCCTTGGGAAGGGCTGATCCCAGGAGCCCCCAAGCTGACAGAACCTTCTCTCCAACTCAGATGCCCAAGTGGCCAAGTGCAGACACTCAAGAGCACCTGTGAGTTATTCTCATCCTCCTCTGGGAAGAGCCTTTCTCCTCCCGGATCCCCGCCTCCTTTCTCCCCTCTTCCCACTCATACTCTGGCCCTTAGTTTCCTCTGCTTATCAGTAACCAACCCATTAGCTTGTTCTCTCTTCCTTTGAGTGATACTGGCCGATCCCTTGTCCTCTTGTTTTTACTGTAGCTCCCTGAGGCTGAAGACCCTGACGGACTGACCTATATCCAGCTGAATCCAAGAGCCCTGAATGAACAGCAGACAGCCCCTGGGAAGACGTGCCCTGATCCAACAACATATGCCACTCTTGCCCTGCATTGATGGACAACAACTTCTCTTTGTGCCTCTTCTTTCCTAGTATCCTTTACGGATCCCCACCAATGTTCCCTTTCCTAAATGTAGGTACCCTTTGGGTTCTGTTTGGGTGTTCTTCTTACACACGCTTCTGGTGATCTCCTCAGCTCCTCTGGGTTGTGCTATTTTCATCCAGATCCTAGTGTCTAGGCCCTAGTCTGTCTCCTGAGCTCTAGGCCCACATCACCAGTTGCTGATTGGGAATTTCCAACTGGATATCCTACAGGCATCTCCAACTCAACTGTTCTAAGCAGAACTTTTCAACTTCTCCCCTCTCCAAACCTCCACAAAGCATCTCCTTTTTCCTACTGAAGGCACCAATATTCTCCTGGTCCCCCAGGGCCAAAACCTGGGAGTTATCCTTAAATTGTCTTTCTGCTCATCCTGTCAGGGGCCAATTCTTTTCCATCCTATCACCATAGCACATTGTTCATCTAGTTCCTTCTCTTTCCTCACATTGTCACTGTTCCAATTCAGGGAGGGCCTCATCACCTCTCTCCTAAACTAATTCAATTGCCTACTAATTGAAGTTTCTGTGTCTGGCTTCTCCCCTCTCCCATTCATCCTCCAGAAAGCAGTGAAATGAAATTTCTTAATCCTCAGGTCTGACCTCATCACTCTTCTGCCCCAAAAGCTTTTGCATCTCCCTTTTACCTTTAGGATCAAATCCAACCTCCCCAGCTGGGCATTTAAAGCCCTTCACTGTCTAACTTCAGCGTGCCTTCCTAGGCTCATCATATGTTGCTAGCCTTTACTCTCGATACATTCCAAACAAACTGGCCAGCCTGCAATGTTCTTCAAGCCCGAGTCCTTCTCCCATCTCCATGCCCTTCCAAAAGGATATCTCCACTGCTTCCTCACCCTTGGAATGGATTCCCACCTCATTTGTGTCTCTTAGAGTCCTTCAAGGCTCAGCCCAAGGAAATCCTCTCACACAAGACCTCTCCAGATTCCCCAGGACTGTGTCCTCTCTTGCCAGTGTGTTTTTTAGTCACCATTTATGTAAACACTGAACTTAACAAACACCAATAAAATGAACACTTCCATATACAAAGCAGAAAGAGATTTGGATATGAAATTATTATATATACACCTTGTTTTTCTTTTGGAGTCTATAATACATTAAACATGTAGCTTTCTTTTGTTTGGGGGTGATTTTATTTTTTTACAATAATTTTTCATATCACCAGAGTTTCTTTCAGTGTCCTTCCCCTTTCTCATTCCCAAGGAGCCATTCCCCAATACAAGTCAACAAGCACTGAGGACCTATTCTGTTCCAGGAATTGTGAATGAGCACTGGGGCTACAAAGAAAGGCAGAAGACAGCCTCTGCTCTCAAGAAGTTCACAGTCTAATGGGGAGACAACATGCAAACAAATATATTCAAATAAACTATATACAGAATAAATAGGAAATAATGAATAGAAAGAAGACATTAGAATTCAGAGAGGTTAGAAAAGGAAAGACTTCATGTAGAAGGTAGGATTTTAGTTGGGACTTAAAGCCAGGGAAAGTAGTAACCAGAGACGAATAGGGAGAACATTCCCAGCATGGGGGACAACCAGGGAAAATGCCAGGAGTTGAGAGATGGAATGTCTTGTTCATGGAACAGCAAAGAAATCAGTGTTATTGGATCAAAGAGTAAGGGGAGTAAGGTGTCAGGGGAGTAAGGTGTAAGCATACTGAAAAAGAGGTGGGGCTAAGTTATAAAGGGCTTTGAATACTGAACAGAGGATTTTGTATTTGCTTCTGGAGGTGATAGGGAGCTACTGGGATTTATTGAGTGTGTTGGGGGAGTGATATAATTGGACCTGAGTTTTAGGAAAATCACTTAAGTGGTTGAGTGGAGGATAGATTGCAGTGGAGAGAGACCTGAGGTAGGCAGACCTACCAGCAGCTATTGCAGTAGTCCTGATACAAGGTGATGAAGGCCTGCACTTAGGTGGTAGCAATGTCAGAGGAGATAAGGGAGTGTATTTGAGAAATGCTGCAAAGGTGAAATTGAGAGGTCTTGGCACCGTATTGGATATCGGGGGTGAGAGATAGTGTGGAATCTAGGATGACTCCTACATTGTGAGTCTAAGGGTCTGGAAGGATGGTGGTGCCCTCTACAATCATAGAGAAGTTAGAAAGAGGGGGAAGTTGTAGCGGGAAAGATGAGGTTTTTTTGGACATTTTGAGTTTAAGAAGTTTAAACATCTAGTTGATGATGTTTAAAAGGCAATTGGAGATGGGAAATTAGAGGTCAGCAGAGAGACTGGGGCAGGAAAGGTAGATTTGAGAACTGTTAGCATAAAGATGGTAAACAAATCCTTGAGGGCTGATGAGTCATGGAGTGAAGTAGTATAGAGGGAGAAGAAGGTCCAGGACAGAGCCAATTTGGAACGTTCATTTATGTGGTTACAATAGATTACAATTTTTCTTTTGAAGGCTTTTTGTTCCTACCCTTCTATCACTTATCAATTGGGGAATGACTTTTGGCATGTATATGTGTGTGTTTAAATATGCACATGTATGTATAATAAATTTTAATACACTTCTGTGCTTCTGTCTGTTCACATGTGTGTTTATGTGTATATATACATATATACACAATGCAATATATGTTACTTATCTATCCATCTTGTATACCAAATCCTTGTCTAAGAAATTTAATTCAAAAATTCTTTCCCCATTAATCTGTTTCCCTTCTTATTTTAGATGCGTTATTTTTGTTTGTGCAAAAGTTTTTCAATTTCAAAGTTATCTGTTTTGTGTTCTTTAATTGCCTCAGTCTCTTGTTTGGCAAAGAATATATCTCTTACCCAGAACTGAGAGAAGTATATGAACTGCTTCACTTCTAGTTCTTTTTCATTGTAAGATCTTTAATATTAAATTCACAGTATCTATTTAGAATTTACTATGGAGTGTGGCACAAGATGCTTGTGTAAGTTTAATTTCTGCCAGTCTGCTTTCCAGTTTTTATTCTTTCTTTCTTCCTTCCTTTCTTTCTTTCTTTCTTTCTTTCTTTCTTTCTTTCTTTCTTTCTTTCTTTCTTTCTTTCTTGGCAGTCAGGGTTTAATTTTCTTGATTTTCTTGGATTGCTAATTTTTTCCCCTAATTTTTCCTTGCTCTCACTTATTTGATTTTTTTTTTGGGGGACTAGGCAATGGGATTAAGTGACTTGCCCAGGATTACACAGCTAGTAAGTGTCAAATGTCTGAGATCAGATTTGAACTCAGGTCCTCCTGACTACAGGGCTAGTGCACTACCTACTGTGCCACCTAGCTATCCCTACTTTCCAGTTTTTCTAGCAGTAATTAAAAACAATCAAATAGAGAATTCTTTTCTTTTTTTGGGCAATTAGGGTTAAGTGACTTGCCCAGGGTCATACAGCTAGTAAGTGTCAAGTGTTTGGTCTGAGGCAGGATTTGAACTCAGGTTCTCCAGATTTCAGGGCCGGTGCTCTAACCACTGTGCCACCTAGCTGCCTCAAGAATTCTTTTCTAAGTAATTAGTTGTTGGTTTTGTTGAATACTAGGTTACTGAGTTTTATTGTTTTTTGTTCTCTTATAAAATTATTTTCTGTAAAATTGATTTAATTTTATTTATAGCCAGTACCAAATAGTTTTGATGACTATTGATTTATAATATAGTTTGAGGTCTGGAAAGTGCTATTTCCTCTTCCTTTCTTTAAAAATTATTTCCAATGATATTATAGATCTTTGATTTCTCCAAATGATTTTTGTTATTATTTTATCAAGTTCTGTAAAGCATACTTTCGATAGTTTGATTGGTATAGTATTAAAACTGTACATTAACTTCAGTAGCATTTCTGTGAGAACTGAATGTTTTCCTCCACCTATTTAAGTTCTTGATTTCTTTAAAGATCATTTTGTAATTGGAACTATTCAAGTCCTTTGTGTGTTTTTCTAGGTTGATCCCTAGATATTTTATGCATTTTGTGGTTATTTTGAATGGGATTTCCCTTTCTAGTATAGCCTCTTGCATTCTGTTATTATGTAGAAACAATGAATTTTTGTGGATTTATTTTGTAATCTGAAGTTTTGCTGAAACTATTGTCTCAATTTAGTATCTTTGCTGCTTCTCTAGTATTTTTTTTTATTTAGGAAAACCATAATATCATCAATGAAATAGTGATACTTTTATCTGTTCTTTGACTATCTTTATACCTTTAATTTCTTCCTTTTGTCTTATTGCTATTGTTAGCATTTCTAGAATGATATCAAATAGCAGAAGAGAGAATGAACATTCTTACTTTACTTTATTGTTAAAACTCCTTTGTGCCTATGCTTTGTAGGTTTTTTGTTTTCCTTTGTCAAAGGCCTTTTCTGTATCTGTTGAAGTAATTATATAGCTTTGGATGTTTTAAAGGTGATAAATTATGTTGATTCCCCCTGCCATGTTGAATCACCCTTTCAATCCTGCTATAAGTCCAACTTGGTCGAAATGAAAGATTTCTTAGTGAATTTCTGTAGACTGTTTGACAAGATTTTAATTAGAATTTTTGAATCAATAGTTATTAATGATATTGGTCCATAGTTTTCCTTCTGTAGTTTATCCTTCCCTGGTTTAGGTATTAGGACTATATTTGTGTCATAAGAGAAATCTGGTAGTGTGCTTTCTTTCTCAGTTTTTGACAATAATTTGTGTAGTATTGTTGTTTAAAATTTTGATAGCATTCATCCCTGAATTTGCTGGGATCCAGAGTATTTTTTTTTTAAATGTGGTAGTTCTTTTGTAGCTAGTTCAATTTCTTTTGCTGATAGTGGATTATTTAAAATGTCTGTCTGGTCTCTTCAGTTAGTTTGAGTATTTTATATTTTAGAAGGTATTCCTCTATCTCTTGTGTTCTTAGGTTTGTTGGTATTCATACATAGAAGTCCTGATAATTCTTTGTATTTCTTCTATTTTATTTGCAATGATTTCATGTTCATTATTTGCTATTTTAAAGACTTGATTTTTTGCCCTTTTAATTGAGTTTTTGAATTTTGTTAGTCTCTTCAAATAGTCAGCTTTTAGTTTCTCTTTTAGTATGTAATATTTTTCAGTTTGCCCATTTCTCCTCTAAATTATAATAACTTAAAATATATCTTCTAATATCTCTTCTAAATTATAATATTTTGGTTTATTCATGGCAAATTTTAAATAATGTGTATCAGTAAATTAGTCTTTTCTTTTTCTATTTTGTTAATATGTTTTTAGGGTTATAATTTCCCCCCTAAAGACTGCTTTAGTGGAATCTTAGAAATTTTGTCATGTTGTTTCATTGCTATGATTTTCTTTCTCATAATTATTAATTGTTTCTGCAATTTGTCCTTTGAACTCCTCATTTTTAAGGTTTTTTTGTTGTCTCCATTTGGATCTCTCTTTTATTGGTGCGTCCTCAAAACTGATTGTGCTTTTTATTGTCTTGTGGTCTCTAGAGGATGTGTTTACTTCTTCTGCCCTTTTTCACTTCAGTGCAATATTTTTGTTACAGTTCCACGTGGTTCTGAGAAATAAGTATATTATTTAGCAGTCCCATTAGTAAGATGTCAAAAATCTTTTTTGATTTGCCAATTCTATTGAAAAAATGTTTTGTGTTAGATTATCTAGAACTGAGAGACATTGACATCTAATATATTGCATTACTGCCTATGTCTTCTTTTAATTCAGCTAATTATTCCTTTATGAATTTAAATGCTAAGGCTTTGGAGCCTTAAAATAAGTGTTAGTTTGTTGTTTATGGTTCATTTCAACCAATATGGTTCAAACAAGTTGTCTTGTTTATTTCTTATCATGTTGTAAATTCTTGTTTTTGTTTTGTGATAGCATGATTGCTTTTTTAAAAAAATTCATTTGATGTTTCTTCTACCTCCTCATTCTCATTCTAAATATGTTTTTGGTTTTTACATGTATTTCTTGTTAGCAACAGATTATGGGATTTCACTCTTTTAATCTAATCTGCCATTCTCATTAGTTTTACTGGTTTAATGAATTCATTCACATTCAAAGTTATGATAGGTTTATATTTGTCTTATCTTTTTCTGAATTAGAATTTTTTTTTTTTGGTTTCTCTTCCTCTGAAAAGACTATTTTGTCTCTTCAGCTATTTTTGCTTATTCTACTGTAGGATGATTCTGTTCCTGTGGGCTTGCTTTCTTTCCCTCCCACTTTCATCCTTTTTTTCTTAGTTTTAGTGTTTTACTTATTAATTTATTTTTCTTTCTTCTTTTTACTTAGTTGTAACATATGGTGAATGTGGATAACTGGTTTACCATTATTGATGCTAACTAGTGTGATGGAAACACTAATTAGATTTACACTTCTCTGTTGAGGGCCAGCTCTGGGGAGTTGGAGGGCTTAGGCCAGCCTGGGTCTTACCTGTAGTTTGTGCTGAGCCCCACAGCTGTGTAAAGACAGGATGCTGGCTCACCATTTCCCCTTTCCGTCTCTTGAGAACAGGATGAACTTCGAGGATGCAGGATGGGACGAAATGGATAGGGTACAAAACAGGATGCAGGAAAGAAAGTGACAGATAGGGTACTAGGAGATAGGAAATCATGTATTGTGGTTTGTGCTTCTCATAGGAAGAAATGTTACCATTGCTTCATCCAGTACTATATAAGCCTGAGCCCTCAGATCAATAAATGAAGCTTCTTCTTTACATCTTCCACCTGGCCTGTGTATTTGTTTCTCTTCACACTCAGCCAACATCAGACCACGGCTGCGGATGCAGGTGCTCGCGGCAGTTCTCAATGCCTGCACTCAAATTTTATGAATCAAAGTGTGCAAACAATACCCTCCTGTAAGCACCAACTTGAGTCTTAGAGGTTCCAATAAGTTTCTTTATGACAGGATTCCCTCTCTGCCCAGCTGAAGGCCATCTCTCTCTCCCTCTCTGTCTCTCTCCATTTCTCTGTCTCTCTCTTTATCCTTCCATCTATTTCTCCCTCCCTTCTCTCTCTTTCTCTGTCTGTCTGTTTCTGTCTCTCTGTCTCTGTCTCTCCCATCTGGAAAGTCTCCATCAATTAGCATTGCCCTCAGTCAAACATGGGCTGCTTGACTCTCAAGTTTGGGGAATGGCAAGAGCTGGTTCTAGTTGTAGCCTAGGAACAGGTTGATGGTTGGGGCTTCTAGTGGATTTTAGCCATAGTAGTCTTTGATTGGTAGAAGGAGTAAGGGGAGGAGGAAGAGGAGAGGGGGAGTAGGGGGGAAGGAGGGTATACACGAACTACTGTAACATTTTCCTATCTGTGGTTTGTTTTATTAGAGGGCCCACATGTTTATCAGTCATTTAAGAATTCACACATGTTGTTTATTACATCATACCACAAAAATGCTTATCTTATTATTGAAAACCAAATTATAGAAAAATGACTTTCTAAAAACAGTTCAATCACAAAATGGAGGCTTAATACAAAGTAGCATCTGTCATGCTAAATTGGCAAACCATCTTATTAAGCCAACAAAACATTCTTATTGAATTATCAGTTATGCTAAATTGACAAACTGAGTCCTACTTTTTTTCATTAAAGTAGGAAAACTTATTCTTATTACACTAGTTCTCTAATTCTTCCCCTCTTTCTCTGTCTCCAATAAGCAGTCCTAAAGCCCCTTCCTCTCCACTCCTTCTATTTATTTTTGTTTTCATTTTCTATGACTGTATCTAATACTCGTTTTCTTTCTATTGTTCTCTTCATTAATTACATTCCCCGTTTGTCTTTTCTAGGCTTTCGGCGTTTGATTCGTAGTTCTTATTTCAATGAATTCCTGCTTTAGTCTGTATGTGCCTCACGGAGCTAAAGCTTCTGAGGACTCATTTTGAGTTCCCTCTTCTAAACAATTTCTTTTATTGCATTGTAAATCTTGCCCCATCTTTGCCCCTTAATGTAGAATAAAAGCTAAGGTCTTTCTTAGAGGAATGATTGAAGGATGATAACCAAACTTACCTTTTAAGATCATGGTCTCCCTACCTGCCTGAAGTTTTTGGCACCTGGACTCACTCGATGGAAGTGTCCACATCTGTATCCTAGTTAAGCAGTAGCTGGAGGAGGGAGATCCTTTCAGCCCTTAAGGGAAGTGTTCCAGGTAGGAACTGAATGTTAACTCTTATGGAATGTTTGTCTTCAGATATATTTCAAGATTTTATGATTGTTTCCTTGTTCAAGAATCCTACAAATGTTACTTGAAATCATGTTGTAGGCAGAGAGTCACGTAGGAAGGCATGCCAGGGGAACAATGCCAGTTTGTACATCTCTCCTCCCCCCTCTTTTCCTCTTCTTTTCTTTCATTTCACCTCCTCTTCCTCCTCCTCCTCCACCACCACCATCACCACTTCCTCTTTCTCTTCCTCCTCCTCCTCTCTCCCTGTGTGAGAAATGGCTTGGATATAGACATGTTAAATTCAATTGTTTCTGGAAGACTAGAGCCTAAGAAATTCAGAGTATAGTATTAGTGTTTGTTTTGTCTTTGACAAAATTACAGAATGTCTAAGTATACTGTAATATCTCTCTAAGACACTTCTAATACATGTCATCATGATTACCTTGGAAGTCAGCCCTTCAACTTCTGCGGAGTTTTCCTCAGCCAATCACAGTGATTCCCTCTGTTCATACACCATGTCTGCATTATGTGTGTGTGTGCTTGATTGTGTGCATGTTACAGCAATAAATGGCGTTGTGAATTAACGTTTGACTGTATAGTCAATAAAGTTAATAGTCAATAGTGAACAAACATTTATTAAGTATCTACTATGTGCCAGGCACCATACTAAGTGCTGGGGATACATAAAGGAAAAAAGAAAGACGGTCTCTCTCCTCAAGGGGCTCACATTCTAATACTGTTAGCTAAGTCTATTTAAGACTACAAATTCCAGCATTTACAGTAAGGTTTCAGAGCCTGGATATATACTTGATAGTCAAGGTATGCAGGTATTGTGTCCCACATTGTTGCTTTCAGTATTCCACTAGTGTTGGAACCAGCTGGAATTGATTCTAATTGGAGATGGCAATGCAGTGATATATCTTGGGTCTGGACATCAGAATCAGGGTGCCCACTGTCTTGTTGACACCAGCATTTTCTATAAGAAATTGCAAGATTACTCCAATATTATTCCAGTAGAGTTAAGTTTTGTTGCTCCAAGGGAAGGTATTTTCTTTGACTATTTCATAAGACCAGCACACAATGGTCACTTTGTGCTCCACTGTCTAGGGAAACAGTCCAGGTCCACGTGATCAGTGTCAATTCTCACCTCCTTCCTGGGTCACAGGAGACTAGGCCAAAAAGAGCCATTAAGAATTCAGGATGGGGCCACGTTCATTGCTCAGGGGTGGGGAGCAAAGGACCACATACTTCCCTGCTCACACTTCCTCTTTTGTTTTTGGAAGATGATGCCCTTGTTAGCTTCTGTATCACTCAAGCTACAGTCTCTCCACAAGTACATATGAATGAATAACATGTTTATTGAAGTGCCTGCTTTGTGCAAAGCACCATGCTAAGCTCTAGAGATGCAAATAGCCAAGTAGGAGCCTTCCTGCTCTCAAAGAGCTCACGTTCTAATGAGGGAGATAACACATATGAAAAGTTTCTGCCATGACCAGATGGACGAGTCCCATGGACGATAATGCCACTTCCTTCATGTTATTATTTATGTGACTATTCCCAGGGGTCTTCGGCTCAGGGTCTTGGGCTGTGCACATCTGGGTCTGAAGGGAGATGATAGTGGGGATTTCAGTTGCCTGGCACATGCTGCCTCCTGTCTCTACCTCAGGGGGCCTTCCAGTTCCAGTGTGATGGGTTACCCTGCTATGAACAGTACCTGGCACATAGGAGGCACTTAATGTTTACCTATTGATTGGCAAATGGTTGGCAGTTGGTGTGGATGTCTGGCCATCTTCCACAAGAGTTGTTTCCCTAGATGATGTCTGTGAGGGCTGGACTGGAAGCAGGACCAGAGGTCTGGGGTATGGAAAAAAGTACTGGGGTGGGCTGGTGGGCTTGCCTGTACTGCATTGCCACTCCATTTTACTTCCTTCAGCAGACAGGGGCTTTGAATCATAGGGATTCAGGGAGCAGAGAGTGTGAAGTTGCTAGTAACTGAACTGGGGAATAACGGGTTGATTGGAGCCCTTCTCTTAAGGGTTTTGTGATGAGGGAGGGCAGGTTTGGGAAGGTGAGTCTACTGTCCAAATACTACAGAGCTGAAGATAGTATCAGCAGTGATCCACAAGGCATGTTGGGTTACTGGAGATTGGGGTTCCAGGGTCTGGGCTAAACTCTCACATGAGGTCAGCCCTGGAGCTTCATCCCAAGATGGTGGGAGACCAGAGAGGAAGACACATTGAGAGGGCTCTTAGCTCTCAGGCCTTGTAGAGGAGGCTGGGCTGCTGGCAGCCTTAGTCATGACCTCAAAGACCTTGGGCCTAATGTCCCTGAGCTTTATCATGGAAGCCCTGGTGGTCTCGAAGCTGGGCCTCTCCCTGAGGCCCTGGGCCTTTAGCACGGGGTGTGATAACTCACGTTTTGGGTCTTTAACTTGCTGTCTGAGACCCTAGGCCTTTGTAAGGCTTGATGTAAGCCATTCTCTTCTGAGCTCTTTCAGAGAGGAAAAATGTGGGGCCTGGCTGTCAGGGGTTGGGGTAGCACTTCTGGCTACCACATCCTGGCTCCAGCTTCTCGTCCCCCTGCCTCTTCTCCTTTGCTCATTTAAAGCCACCAGCTACAGACTGTACTGAGGAGCCAGCATGTCCCCCACATTCATCTCCTTGCTCTATGTTGGTGAGTCCCAAAGCTGGGTTTGAGGTGGGTGAGAAGCCGCTTTCAGGAGGATTTGGCCAGCAAACTGTGGGAGAGAAAGGGACACTGAGGCCTAGCAAGAAGTCTCCTGGACAGAGTGGAGACCAGGCATCCTGGCTGCCTCCTCCCTGTTCCTGGCCAGGGTTGACTGAGCACAGAAATTGCTCTGGGAGAAGTGAGGAGGGGCAGCTGTGAATCGAAGGAGGAAACACCCATCATCTGAACTTGCTTTACAGGACTGAGCCTGGGTCAGGCAGTGGAGGTGCCTAATGGTGAGTCTTTCTCTCAGAACCTTCCCCCTTCCCTTCTCCCTCAGTCTCAGCTTGTCACAGAGAGTAACCAACAGAGCATCAGGAAGATGAGGTTGGGGAACATGGGGTGACTCTGGGAGAAGTTAACTAAAGCTGAGGATGCCATTGGGCAGGGAGCAACCCCAGGGAATCCAAGCTCTGCCTTCTCCCCACCATCCCCCCTCTGGGCTCCACCCAGAAGTTGTGACCCTCTGGTGCCAGGGGCCACTAGGGAATGGGGACTTCTAGCTACTGAAGTTGGGAGATGTCTGAGAATTGGGAAATGTGGCTGGACAAGAAACTGATCTCCCTGCTGGGATTCTGGGAGCCAGAGCCATGTAAGGAGTTAGGGCTGCTCCAATAGTCAGGGGACCTGATGGTCAGAAGCTCTTGGAGACCATGGTGAAATGTGAGGGGAGAGAGCAATTGAAAATCTCTTCTAATGGTGTGTGTGTGGGTTGTTCATGCTGAACTCGGAGTCCTCCAAACCTGTGTAGGAGATAATAGGTTGCCATGCCTAATAGGTTGATAGCACCAAGTGGCAGTGGTGAAGACCCCACAGTCTTTGTTCCTGCCAGGACCACATATTGTTCCTACATAAATAATGGGTTTAGGATTACAGCAATTGAAGAGTTTAGAGTCAACTGGGCAAAACAAAATGCATATAATACATATATTAGAAATATGTTAAGAATACAATATATACATTATGTATATTTGTTAGAGAGGTTCTTAGTCACTGGTGGAGGAGGGAGCAGGGAAGTTGCAATGCAGGAGTTATCACATAAGCAGAGCTTTGAAGGAAAAGGGGGATTCTGAGAGGCCTGGTTGACATGGGAGTGCAGTTCAGGCATGGAAAATAGGTAAGGTAAAAGAGTGGATGAGGGAGATAGAGTGTTGTGTGAGAGGAATGGTATGAATGTTGGTGTGGCTTGGCTGCAAAGTGTGGAAAAAGGAATAACATACAATAGGATTGGAAAGATAGATAGGGGCTGGTCATGAAGGGTTACTGAAGGCAATAAAAGTGACCCTTGGTAGTATAACTGAGAGGGAGCCATTGGAGTCTGTTGAATGGGGAGTGATGCCATCAGATCAGGACTTCACAGCATGTCTTTGTGCAGTTGTGTGGAGGGTGGATTGGAGAAGAGAGGTTTGAAGTAGGGAGACCAATGAAGAGGTTATTACAATCATTCCAGAGGTGATGAACTTGGAGGGGGGTGGCCATGGGAGTGGAGAGAAGGGGACAGATGGAGGTGGACATGCCAAGATTTGGTAAATGATTGGACAGCTGAGGAGGAGTCAGGTGACATTGTTGCTCTGGAGAGCTTTGTGAAACAGGGCCAGCACTCAAGAGCATCTCTAGCTGTGACTGACTTCCCCATCCCTTCCACTTACCATGATTAGGGGACCTGAAAGGCAGGAGAGTGAGCCTGGAAGTGAAGTTTGCTCTGAAAAATGAAAACATCAGGAGCCCTGGAGGAGACCTTGGGAACTTCTCCACTTCTATTTGGGAGTTCATGGGCACCTGAATTATGGCTTCATTGTGGGCCAGTGAGAATGGGTAGGGTGTTGTGGCTCAGCAGCTAGGGAAGGCCCATGTGAGTTTCCCCAATGTTCCCCCAAAGTGGCATTTGTTCTCAGAGAGTTAGAGGATGGCTTGGTATTGGGGAAAAATAGGAGGTTGTTTCCATGTACTCTTTTCATCAAAAATGGTTAAGAACCATGGCTTTACCATTATGGAATATGCAGATCATCTCCAGTGCTTTCATTTGGTCTGTAGCTCAGAAGGTCATGGATCATGGGGCAGCACATGAAACAGCTGGAAGGAAGGATGATGGGGATGGTGACACTGTCCCTCATCCATTTGCTTTCAGTATATGTGGTAGATTGACTTGTTACATGGATTGGTCAATTGTAAGACCTGGTGTTAAACTCTGGGACAAAATGGACAAAAGGATTTCTGCAAAGAAACAACAGTATGAAAAGAATAGGAACTATGTGTGGAAGACCAAATGATGAGCAAATGGCTGAGCTGAGCATTTTCTATGGCCCCACTAGCTCTTTATCAATCACATTACAAGGTCAAAGCAATGATGTTCTCAGCAGATATGCCATGAAGCCTGATATTTGGGAAGTGCCTTTGCAAGTCTGTTGTAGCACACTCAAGTCTCACAGGTGAGCCCTGGGACAGGGACTTAAAAGGACATTTTAAACTGAAAGAGGAGTTTCCTAGGTAACCCCATAATAATAGCAGCATTTCTATAGCTGTGTAAAAATTGGCAAATCACTTCATTTTCATTTGTTAAAATTCATTTATCTCTTAATACCACACTTGTCACAGCTAGTAGAAAGGTAAATATTTTATACCTTAACTAGCTCTTCATTTTCATTGGTTGATTATGTTACTAAAGACATGGATTTCTATCTCTAAGCAAGGGAGCTTGTAAAATTCTTTTCTTTTTTGGTTCTTTATTTTTTTAATGTTCACTTTTTTAAAAAAATGAGTGCTAAATTCTCTTTCTACTTTGAGCCCTCTCCCACCCGTTGAGAAGCCAAGCAATATGATATCAATTATATATGTGAAATCAAGCAAAACACACTTTGATACTAGCCACTTTGCAAAAAATGAAGAAAGTGGAAAAAAAGTGGGTTCAATCTGCACTCAGAGTTCAGCAGCTCTGTCTATCTCTGGAGGCGGATAACATTTTTCATCATGATTCCTTTGGAACTATTGTTTCGATCAAATTCTTTCACAGTCAATCATAGTTTCAGTATTGCCGTGTGTACAATGCTCTTCTGGTTCTGATCACTTCACATTGCCAGGTTTTCCTGAACCCATTCCCCTCATTATTTTTTATAGCACAATAGCGTTCCCTCACAGTATATTTCCCTACTTGTTTTTCCCTTCCCCACTGCATGGGCATCCCCTCAGTGTCCAATTCTTTGCCACCACAAAAAGAGCTGGTATAAGTGTTTCCACACACATACATCCTTTTCCTTTCACTTTGATCTTTTAGGGATGCAGCCCTGCTCATGGTATTGCTGGGTCAAAGGGTATGCACAATATTATAGGCCTTTTTGAATAGTTCTAAATTGTTCTCCAGTTCCACAGTGCCTCTTTCAGCCACCTGAATGGCCATTGGAACACATCATTCTTATCTACCCATTCCACTGGAGGTGGGGTAGACACCTTCTTAACTTGCTCAAGGTTTTGAGACCTCTCAGTTACTCTCAACCTTGTTTAGCCTATACTGGGGTGTGTCCAGTGGGCAGTCTGCAGCTTCTTGGAGTCACAGGTGAGAGTTGTGTGAATCAGGTGGACACTGAGGGCGAAAGCAGCCCTCACACTCCAGATACTAGTCTTCCTTGAATGTAGGCTCAGGAAGAAGGCAGAAAAAAAATCCACTTTTATGCTGATAGTAACAATCAAAGAGATTTTATGATGCCCTGAAGGCTATTTATGAACCAAAGACCCGTGGTGCATCTCAACTACTCAGTGCTGATGGAGACATATTGATTGGTGATAAGGACATGATCCTGGAGAGATGGGCTGAACACTTCCATAATGTTGTCAACAGACTGTCATCAATCAATGCTGAAGCCATTGACTGTTTACCTCTGGTTGAAGTCAATCCCTCCCCAGCTGGAGTTCTAACTGAAGAAGAGGTTTTGAATGCCATTGGGCTCCTTCATGTGGTAAAGTTCCTGGTGCTGATTCTATTCCAGCTGAAATGGAGTCCATGCTCATCATGTGATAGAAAAGGAAACAAGTAATAGCAGTGCTAGGGACATGACCCCAGGAGCTCTGACTCTCTTAGCATTGCATTTAGGCTCAGCTGAGACTGTCTGGAGCTTCTCCATGGTCCAGATTGAGTGGGAGGGAATTTTCTAATGAGTTCCTTCTCTGAGTCCTCAGATTCAGGTAAGAGAGATTTGGGGTGGTGTGGGGTGCACCTTTTAAGAAGATCCTTCTAACATTGTTAGAAGTAGAAGGGACCTGAATAACCATCTGTTCCAATCTTGTCATTTAATAGGTGAGGAATGTGAGGCATGGAAAGGGTAGCAGACTAGGATAAGGTCACTCAGTTCATTCTGGGCAAAGTTGGGACTTGAACCCAGATCCTGACTCCTAGCCCAGTGATCTTTCTTTCCTAGGATCTCTCTCTAAGCCCCACCTCCAAGCCCTTCCAGCTCCTGTGGTGGCCCCAGGGGGAGATGTGACCCTCCAGTGCAGCATGTCACCACACTCATACCTCAAGGCTATGACTTTCATTCTGCAAAAGGGACAGAACATGGAGCCCTTACAAACCAAGCCTGGAGAAGGGACAAAGGTTGATTTCTGCCTCTTTTTTCTGAGGCCACAGGATACTGGGAACTATAGTTGCATCTACCGTGAGACTACAGATTCTTACAGGGTTTCAGAGCCCAGTGAGCCTGTAGAGCTCTGGGTAACAGGTGAGAAGGGTTCCAGGATTGGGCATCACAGAGCAGAAGGCCTGGAATCACGGGCTACAAGTGAGACAGGAAAGTATGGGAGGGGATACCATGAGGGGCTAGTGTGAGCATCATGGAGCAGAGAGTCTGGGGCCCTGAGAGGGGCAGAGGGGATATGGGGATGGGCTGCCTCAGCCCACACTGCATGACCCAGATACTTGGGGTAATGGATGGAGATAAGACCAAGCTGCCAGGGAGGCCCAAGGAATAGGAGAATTTGCACATCTCCTTTCTTGGGAAGGGTCCCCTGAGAAGGGCATGACAAAGAAGGCTTAGGAGTGATGAGTAAAGGGTCCTGGAAATCTTACCCAGGATGTCCAGCTCCTCTGTCCCTCAGAGGGGCTCTTGGACCTCTAATATCTATGCTTTGGCTTTCAGATATCCTACCCAAGACCTTCCTGTCAGCCAAACCCAGTCAGCTGGTGGTTTCAGGAGGGAATGTGACCCTCCTGTGTTGGGGGCCAATTCAAGGTGTGAGATTTGCTCTCTACAAGGAGGGAGAGAAAAGTTTTGTGAGCATCAGAGAATCCACCAAAGACAGGGCTGAGTTCCCTCTGACCCACGTGAACATCACCAACATGGGGAATTACAGTTGCTGTTATTACCTTGGACCAGACAGCCATGTCTTGGCACTACCCAGTGATCTCTTGGAACTTACAGTGCAAAGTGAGGAGCAGAGGAAGGAAGGATTCTCTGGAGGGTACCCATGACCACTCCCTTACCCCAGGATTAGGAAGTTAGATCCAATTACACCTCCGTACCCATTGACTCTGATTTGTAGACAAGGGAGGAGAGGGAAAGCCTCTAGTGTGTCTTTCCTAGGGTCACGGGGACACTGGGTTGGGCGTGGGACATGAACATCCACCTTGTATGCCCCACTCCCCTCTTAGCAGAAAACATTTGGTTTTCCAGGTGAGCAGGATATACTCTCTCAGCACACAGCTAAGACCCAGGGTAAGAAGTAACCATTCATTGTTTGGGGAAGAGGGGCAATGTTCCTAAACCTTCTTGGTCCAAGCCCAGAACTAAGTCCTGAAGGATGGGAATTCCGGTGTTGATGGGCAGGAAAAACTGTTCAGGAAGGGTGGAGAGGAAAGGGGAGAAATGTTTGTGAACTGATCTTCACTCTCACTCCACATCTCAGTGTCCAGATATATCATGATTGCACTCTGTCACATTGGCATCCTCTTCCTACTCTTTCTTCTTTTGGCATTCCTAGGCCATCAACACACCCAGACTGGTGAGTTTGGGGATGGTTGTATGCTGAGATTGGAGGGAATAAGTATTGGTTCCTCAGTTTCCGCATTTGTTAAACCAGGGCTTGATCTAGATAATCTCTAAGATCCCTTCCAGAGCTAAGCCATAAGAGATTAACTGACACTGTCTCTTTCTCTCTCTGTCTCTGTCTCTCTGTCTGTCTCTCTCCCCAGTGACTTCACATGAACAGATCCCCAGAAGGTAGAGAGACTTAGCCGATCTTCCCAAATTTTCCTGATCTAATATTCTGAAGTGACCCTGCACCATCCACAACAAGCATGTTGGGGTCTGAACATGACTTTCTTCTCCCTTCCTCCCACCCGCATCCTGTTCTCTCCATGATTCCCAGATTGCTTGTGTCTCTCTCATTATATCTGCTTTTCCCATAACCGTGGAGATCCACAAATTAAGGGTCTTTTCCAATGAATTCTGTCTTCTCGTTATGTGGCCAAAGTATTTAAGCTTCAGCTTTAGTATTTGTCCTTCTAATGAAGAGTGAATAAATTACTGATTTGATGACCTTACTGTTCAAGGGACTTCTCTAGCACAATTCAAGTGTAGTTATTTGAGGCTCAGCTTTCCTTATAGTTCAATAGTCACAGTCATACATTGCTGCTGGAAAAACTATAGCTTTGACTATATGGACTTCTTATTCGATTAAAAAACACTGCTTGGAAAATTCAAAAGAAGTTTGGCAGAAACTGGGGATAGACCAACATCTCATACCAGATATCAAAATAAGCTCCAGATGAGTACAGAGCTTAGACAGAAAGGGTGACAGTCTAAGCAAATTAAAGGCCTATAGGAGACATTAACTATGAGACCTATAGAGCAGAACATAGAAGGTAAAATGGGCTCAAATTACAAGAGATGGATGTAGATGGAAGAAAACCAATCTTCAGAGCAAGTTTATCTCATAAAAGTCTCATTTCTAAGATACACAGGGAACTCTCTCAAATTTAGAAGAATATGATCCATCTCCTGTTGATAAACAGCCACAGAATATGAACAGCCAGTTTTCAGAAGAAGAAACCTAAGCTATCAATAACCATGTGAAAATGCTGCAAGTAACAATAATTAGAGAAATGAAAATTAAAACAACTGTGAAGTTCAATCTCACATCAGATTATGAAAATGGACAAAAGAGAAAGATGTGAAATATGTGAAGGGCTAGGGGAAATGGGTACATTAATTCACTCTTGGTAGAACTGTGAGCTGGTTCAACCATTCTGTAAGGCAATTTAGAACTCTGGCTCAGAAGTTATTAAGCTATCCCTATGCTTGGACTCAATCATAACAGTACTGTCTATGCCCAACAGAGATCAAAGCAATAGGAAAAGTACTCATCTATCCTGAGGTATTTGGGGCCCCTTATTTTGTAGTCAGTCAGTCAATCAATAAGCATTTATTAGGCACCTTTTATATTCCAGGCACAAGGCTAACCACTGGGGATATAAAAACAAAAGACAGTCCCCACCCTAAGGGAAGAGACAGCATGCAAATAGCCATGTACAAGCACTGGATATACGGTATAAATAGGGAATTATGAGCAGAGGCAAGGGACTAGAATGAAGAGGGATTGGGAAATCCTTCCATATGGACATTGACTGGCCCAATATCAGGGTAGGGTTTGAGGAAGAGAGGAAGGCAAAGGAGCCAACCTGTTGCACTGATCTTGAAGGCTGGCTCCTCATGAAGATCTGGACTGGGTGACATAGACCTAAGGTATGACCAGAAGCAGAAGAGAGGTTTCTGAGTGCTGGTGCCAAAGCAAGGGTTTGGGAATGACAGTGAGGATGGCCAGTCCTCCTTCCAGCTCAGGGTGCCATGGGGCATGCTAGAAGGAGCACTCAGTGCCACAGAGGGCATCACGACTGGGGCCTGCTCAAGAGGCTCTGCTTGCTGTGAGCAGATGGAGACAATGGAGTTAAGAAGCTCAGGAGAAAGGAGAAGTTGGTTAGGGAGTGATCCCAGTGGGCATAATGGAATGGGAGGGTAAGGGAGGCCAGGGGAAAATGGCAGTTTTGTGGTGGGTCAGGGATTTCTGGTAGCAGTCAGAGATTCTGTTTCACTGGGATTAGGAGAGTGGGAGGCATGAAGTTGCTGCCTACTGGATTGAGGAGACAGCAGAGGGCTGCAGTCTTAACCCCCAGGGTCCTGTGGTGAGGGAGGGCAGCCTTGGTACAGTGTGCCAGCTACCAGCACTGGGGAGTGACCACTCAACCCTGGAGATTGGTTCCTCTGGAACTGGCCTGAATTCACACATGGGGCCAATTCTTTGGGTTCTTCTCCGCATAAGCAGAAGACACTTTTGGAAAGCTTGTGCTCAGTGGTCAGGCAGGCCTTATGTCTGAGGGTGAGCTTGCCTGTCTCTCTGGTCCTTGGTCTTCAGCCCTGCCCTTTCAGGACTGACCATGGGCTCAGAGACCTTCTTCCTTTGAAGTGCTTCCCTGGTGGTGAGTTGTTCTCCAGGTCTTGAGGATTTGGTCTCATAGTCTTTGAAAGACGGGCCTCCTGATGAGAGCCTGGGTCTCTCTGAGGGAGAGATCACAGCAAGAAGTTCTTCAGCTCATATATCTCAGAGTGGAAGAGTGTGTGGCCAGGCTTCAGTGGGTGGAGGCAGTGGGTCCAGCTACCACATCCTGAAGCTGATCTCTCTTGGGGCTTTTGGCCTCTTCCTATCTGCTCAGTGAAGTCTAGAAAGCTCAGGCCCAAGGCTCACCATGGCCCTGGCTCCCATTTCCCTGTTCTTCCTAGGTAAGTACCAGGGTTGGGCTGGGCTGGGAGATGAGGGACATGGCACAGAGGTGGACACTTGGGGCTGGAGGCAAGGTTCTTGGAGTGAGCAGATCCCAGATCTCTTTGATCATCTGAATCTGCCTCTGTTGAGGTCACAGAGGAGTTGAGGGAAAGGACTCTAATTTAGGGGAAGGGTCAGGGAGGGGTTTTGGAATCATCTATAACCTGAGCATCTCTTTCAGGGCTATGTTGCATCTACATGCTTAGGGCACAGATAGGTGAGTCTTTCCCCCAGGGGCAATCCTGTTGAGGGTGATCAGAGAGGAAGAAGATGAGGGTGGGTCCAATCCATCTATCCATCAATTGCTCCCAGAGCACTCAGGGTGGGACAAGAGGGGGATAGGTCTTGGATGAACTGGTGCAGTGATTGTGGAGAAGGGCCATAGGTTCCTAGAATTTAGAATGGAAATGGACCTTACATATTGTCACCATTTTAGTCTGACACTCATTTTCTAGATGGAGACGCTGAACCCAGATACAGGAAGTGACTGGGTTCCACAGGTAATAGCAGATAGGAATTAAAGCAGCTCTTCTGAGGCTGGGCCTGGTGTTCTTTACACATGGGGTCCTCTAGGCCTGTGTAAGAGGGGTATTTAACACCTGATTACCCTCTTAATGTAACCTACGAGATGGTGGGGTGAGAAACCTCTCAGATTGAGGTAGAGAATAAGCCATTAATGGCATGGAGTAGATGTGGACAATGGAGTTGGAGTGAAGCATTTCTAACCTTTGAATGAAATCTAAGATGAAATGTCTTGGCCTTGTTTGGAAGAATTAGGTCCCCTTCTGGAACCTGGTGACTCAGAGGTGATCTGTCCAGGAGCATTCTGGCCATAGCCTAGAGTGAAGCCTTGTAATGACCCTCACATGTAGCCTGGGGGAGGGGTTTGTCACACTCCTTTTGGCCTAATTCTCCCAATACATTTCATCCTTTGAAGAATGTGAGGTCTTCCTGGTTTCACTTTCCTCCTTCCCAACTTGATTAAGTTGGCTGTTCAGCCCTCATTTACAGAATGATTCTCTGAGTTCATCATGGAGGCACCTCTCCCTTGATCAGTGCATCTGAGTAGAGAACATCTAATTAAGCAAATTAATTGGGTCTGGGCAGGTGGAACAGCCACTCTTGCTTTCCTACTATCCTCCTTCCTTGCATCTGTCAAGTTCCTGAATAACTAACAAGCCTAGATGAGGCTCTCCCTTCTCTGTGGATCATTCCTGGATGGGCTCAGGCAACAGTTACTGTGTCCTTTGGCCTTCTTATAGCCCCACACCTAACTCCACTTCTTGACTGGGTGTATGATGGGGGGCTTTTTCACTCAATCATTCTCTGTTCCAGGTGTAGGAGGAGAAGAGGCCTAGGAGGTTAATGACCTGGCTTCCAATCTCAGCTCTGCTTCTAGGTTCCTCTGTGATCTTAGGCCCATCAGTGCACCTCTTTAGATCTCAGTTTACTGTTATGTAACAAGACAAGGTCAGCCTAGCCCGTGTCTAAGGTTCCTCCAGTTCTGAGACCAATGATGCTACTTCTGTGTCTGTCAGCTAGGAGACAATGGGCCCCTGAGGCCAGAGGCTGAGTCTGAGCTAAATGGTGAGCTTCTTTACCCACAAGGAGACAGGGAAGGATCCCTGGGCTTAGAACCAGAAGCTCAAGCTCCCTCAGTCCCTGGGATAGTGTGAGGAAAACACTTGTAAACAATTGGAATGTACCCTAGATGTGGTAGTCAACATTTCATCAGAGCTGCCTCTGAAGGAGAAGTCAAGGCTGGTTGGGACAGAGCTTGGCTTGTGGAGATGGTGTGCGTGTATGTATGTATGGACATATATATGTGCACACACATGCACGTGTGAATCACACTCATGTGTAGGCATGCAGACATGTGCATGTTGTGGACATGTATCAACATGCAGACAAAGCCTGTGGTTGCATGCACATTTATACACAAGGGTCTGTGCATTTAAGTGTAGATGTGTCTGTGTATATGAGTACATGTGTACATGCAAATGCATGTGTTGTACAGTATATGCATGTACACTCAACAGGTTTGTGCTCGTGCATGTTGCTTTGTGTGGTTGCATGTATTTATGCATGCATGTATATATGTTCACATGCATGTGTATCTCTGTGTGTGAATGCTTTTTCTCCATCTCTCTCCTTCACATTCACAATTTTTGTTCTGAGCCTTGCAGGGCCCAGCATATCTCTGTGAGGGTGGGGCAGACAGAGCTTAGTTATCTAGAGGTGGACAGGCCCACCTGGGCTGGGACATTGGACTAAGGTCATCCCTCCGCCACCTTCCCAATCTCTCATGGCATATTATTGTTTGGGCAAGGATGGAGATTGCCTTTCCAGATCCTCTGGGCCCAGCCCAGTCTTCTGGTGCCTGAGGGATTTGGGGGAGAAGGGCAGTAGTGGTTCTAGATCTGGGGCTAGGTATCAGCGTTGGGCCAGTCACTCCTCAGGGAGATGCTTGGCTTTCTGTTGAAGGCAGGTACTTGGGAGCTTTTGAGGTCCCTTTGAGGTCCCTGAGCCCTGCTGAGACCATAAGCAACATTTCCTCCAGTGTTTCTGCTGCTCTGTGAGGGATGGCAGGGTCCCAAGCTGTCTTTCCTCTGAAGGGTGGTATAGTCAAGTCACTGGGGATGGATCAGAGGAAGCCTGGGAACAGAGCTAAGCTGGCAGGGGCTGTTGGGGCACACACAGGAGGAAAGCTTCAACACTCATGGCATTTTTAAGAGTCAGGAGAGCCGGGGGCAGCGGTCTCGGTGGTCAGAGCGGCTGAGACAGTGGCTAGAGAGGTGCCAGCCTGAGTGGGTGGGGGTGGAGGGGAAGGAAGAGCAGGGCAGGACTAGCCCTGAGGGGTTGGGGAGTGGAGAGGCATAGAGGGGGGACAGATGCATAGCAAGTCATCTGGGGACCTCTCAATTTCCTTATCACTCTTGCCAGCCAGGTGCTAAGCCCGTGATGTGCGCACCCCGTGAAGGAATGAGCTGGCGGTGCCTTCTCAAATGGAAGCTAAGTGATACAGCAGGTGGAGCACTGGGCTGGAGTCAGCAAGACCTGAGTTCAAATCTGGTCTCAGACAACTGCTTGTTGTGCGCCCCCCGGAGAGTCATTTCACCTTTGTCTGCCTCTGTTTCCTCAACTATAAAATGGGGTGTCCACCACTACTAAGTTCCTTCTTAGAATGACAAACAAAATTAGGCTTCACGTGTATGTTCATTTCTCTTAAAGCTGGAGGAACATGCCTATAGAGATACACGTGGGAGCTCGTTGTAGACAATGAAACTCAAATATGGACAGACAGAAGGGAATTTTATATCTTTAGAGCAATTCTCTCTCACCCCTCCCTTCCTTCCTGGCTCAGGATGCCTATGTTAGCCAAAATTATAGTCTCCCTATGTGTTAACCATAATATGACAAAGGAATTTCTTAACTGGAAAGAACGGAAACACAATAAGATAGGAGAATGTCAAAGTGTCAGTTGAAATTATAGACCCAGGATGTCTTTCTCCTATCATTAACATGACATAACATAACTTAACATGTATCTGTAGAATACCAAGATAAGAAAAGTCCCATTATTCGAGTTACTGTTTGGCTCAAGGCCTTGGGTGATAAACAGAAGAATGTTCCCGGCCAGCTTCATCTGGCCTTGTAGTTGCTGACCCAGGAAGGAACATTTTGAGTTCACTCAAGGAGTAAAGCAAAGCAAGTCTGCCATGTCACAGCATGCAAAGCATTACGGTAGTCTAAACTCAGAGTGGGCCAAAATGTTTTGCCCGATTGGCCAATCCAGGTTTTAGGCCTTTCTCAGGTCTTGGGAGTTCAAAATAGCTTGGGGAGGTGTCCACAGGGGATAATAAGAGCACTTACTATCCAGAGTTGTGAGGATTCAGTGAAATAATATTTGTAAAGTGATCCATGCAGCACCAGGCATATAGTAGGCACTATATAAAAGCTAGCTATTCTCATTATCTATGACTGTGATGATGATAATAGGTTGTGATCCATAAGGTCCAAGCCCTGGCCATTGTGCCCCCATCACAGATTTGTCCCACACTGACTCTGAGGCTTTCTCTTCTCCTTCCCCATCCCCCTCCCACCTCTCTCTCTCTCCCAGGATCTCTCCCCAAGCCATTCCTCTCAGCCCTGCCAGGTCCTGTGGTGGCACCAGGAGGGGAGCTGATCCTCTGGTGCAGGAGGCCGTCAGAGTCATTTGACTGGTTGGTGACATTCAGTCTACTGAAGTCAGGGACCCAGGAACCCTTACAGAAGAAGGACCTAGTCTATTCTCAGGCTAAGTTCTCCCTAAAGTCTCTGGGGGTCCAGGACTCTGGGAACTATAGGTGCATTTACTATGAGACGTCAAGCCCACATGTCAAGTCTGAACCCAGTGATGTCCTGGAGATCTGGGTGACAGGTGAGAGAGAGCAGGTCCAGGACTGGGGACCAGAGCAGGTGCTGGGATCTTGGGGTGAGAGGGTGAAAGGACAGTTTTGGAGAGGTCAGTGTGAGGAGCTATTGTGAGTGCCATGGGAGGAAAGAGGGCAAGCCGAGGGAAGAGGACACATATGGAGGGACTGCCCTAGCCAACACTGAATGAGCTAGGATGGAAGCAGGAGCAAACTCTTTATTCCCAGAGAATGAGGAAGTTTTAGCATCTGCCCCCTCCAGGGAATATCTGCCCCCATCCAGGGCATATCTAGTTTCTCTCTAACTCTTTGGTATGGAGGCAGTGCCCTGACCAGAAGGTGGGTCAGCCATGGAGCCATGCTGGCATGCTAATGACCTCACTCCCACCTCGCAGAGGACATGCACAGATGCCACCACAGAGGACTTCCTAATGAAAACCTGGGAACTCAGTGTGGTGTATGAAGGCACTCTGATAATCTGAGCAGGATTGGAGTAGGGGATGAACTAAAGCATCGTAACAGAAAAGAAAAAAAAATCTAGATTTTTCTTAGGGTTAGAGTTAGGTTCCCCGTGAGGGGGGAAGGGCAGAGAGGGGCTGGAGAGGGGAGAAAAAGGGACAAGGAAATCCATCCTAGGCTAGCTAACTCCCTTCTTTCCCAGAGAAAACTTTGAGAGCTCTGGTCTGTCTGCTTTCACCTCCAGACACCCTTCCTAAGCCCTCTCTCTCAGCCTGGCCCAGCCCTATGGTGACCTCAGGGGGGGAATGTGACCCTCCTATGTCGGGGGCCAGTGCGGGGCATGAGGTTTGCTCTGTACAAGTATGGAGAGGAGGCACCTGTGGGCACCAGTGAGTGGACTCAAGATGGAGCTGAATTCCCTTTGATCCATGTGAGCATCAATCGGAGTGGAAGGTGTAGGTGCTGCTATCTGCTTGTGACAGACAGCCCTATCTTGGCCCTGCCCAGTGACTCCCTGGAACTTATAATACAAGGTGAGGGGCAGATATCTGAATAGCTCCCATGACTTAGAACTGGGTGTTTGGCAGGTACAGGGGGAGGGGAGAGGAGGTTGGAAAGAAGGGGGTGGGAGAGAGAGAGAGATAGATAGATAGAAAGAGAGAAAGAGAGAGAGAGAGAGAGAGAGACAGAGAGAGAGAGACAGAGAGAGAGACAGAGAGACAGACAGAAAGAGAGAGATAGGGAGAGAGAGAATGAAAAGTATTCAGTTCTTATTATGTGTTAAACACTGAGGATACAAAGAGAAGTTATAAAGACAATCCCTATTCTCAGGGAGGTGAAAATGGCATATATTAAAAATTCTATGTATGTATATGTGTTTATATGCATGTGTGTATATATATACATACAAAACATGTACACACAAACACACATACACATACATACATACACACATATATAATCATAAAGCAGGGGGAAGAGTGGGCTACAAGAAGATTGCTGGCTGTGAGGCAGAGAAATCCAGAGAGTGAGAAGTGTATCTCAGGGTTAAGTAAACATGGCCAAGGTGCCTCAGAAGACAGTGCTTGGGTCAGGGACTCTCTAATCCTAAGAGAGCATCTGTGAGCTCTGAGACACAGGAAAAACCACATGAAAGACTTTGTCTCTCCCTTCAGTTATGGGGCCATGTGCTCCATAGATGTCAGGGCAAGCACATGAGCTTTCATCCCACCAATCTCTCTCATTCCTTCCCAGTAATTTGCATTTCTTCACTTATTTATTTATTTTTTTTTTAGGAATGCAGGATGCTGCCTCTGAGGTGACAGGTAAGTATGAGCAGATGAGGGCAATATCTGCTCACCTCTGTGGGCCCAAACCCAACTCTTACTGTAGAAGGTTGGGGGATGGACTGGTCATGATGGTCAGGAGAATGTTTGCAGGACAGGCAAAGGGGCAAGGGGAAGGATTTCCTGAGTTCGTTGGAGTGTGAGGACTGATCTACACTCACCACCACTGTCCCAACTCAGCATGCAGAAATATTCTGATCACCATTGGCCGCAGCTCCATCTTCTTCCTCCTTCTCGTCTTGGCTTTCCTTGGCTATCGCTACACTCAGGCTGGTGAGTTTGGAAATTAAAGAGTGAACTCATGGATTGTAGGCTATTGCTAATATCTATTGATATTGGGATGAAGCCTGGGGCCTGGGTTTCCATATTGATGAACCCTTCAGATTCTCTTCTAGCTCAAAATCCCATGATCCTTGTTATTCCTATACTCCTCTTCTTTCTCTCTCTCTGTCTCTCTGTCTCTCTGTCTCTCTCTGTCTCTCTCTGTGTCTCTCTCTCTGTTTCTCTCTCTCTCTATCTCTCTCTCTCTCTGTTTTCTCTCTCTCTCTGTCTCTATCTCTCTGTCTCTCTCTCCTCCCCTGTCTCCCTCACATGAAGAGTTCTATAGCAGGAGGGAAACAGCTCAGCTTCCTAACGGCTAACATCTCATTGTGACCCTGTGCCCTCTACACTAGTCAGACTCTCACAGGGAGAGTATGATGAGCTTTCACCCTAGCAGAGCATCTTTACCCCTCATCTTCCTCCTTCCCCACTCCCTCTCAGGATTCCTGTGTCACCCTTAGTATGTCTGCATCCTTCGCCCTCAACTTGGATCTGCCCAGGAGGAAACCATGATCACGTGAGTAGTGATCATTGATGTGAGACAGGGGAAGAGGTGATACCAGGAGCTCAGCACCTGATGAGACCTTCTCTCCACCTTAGGTATAGAGTTGTCCAAGGGGAAACAGACTGAGGCATCACAGTGTTAAGCCTATTCCATCATCCTCAAGTTGGAGAACTCTGTCTCATCTTTGGTCTCAACATTCTCACTGACTCTCCCCCCCCCCATACCCACATACTTTGCCTCCTGGATTTTTCTTTTCTCAATAACTAAATAATAATTTTTCCTTTCCTCTTTCTCATAGCAGTGCCTGTTCACCAAGTCTCATGAAGACCCCCAGATACCCAAGTTTGAAGACCCCAGGAATTGGCCTTTACCTAGTGGAGGGGCCCCAAGTGAGAAGCATGCAGCATCTTCCAAGCTTTTCACAGTACTCACATTCTATGCCACTGGTCTTGCAATGAGGCCCAGACATAAACTTGTCCTCTTCTCCAAGGAGCAGGAAGAAACACAAAGCATATTAATTTGTTCCATGTAGATTATCTGGTGAAAGGATTCCAGTTGTCTCTCTGACTCATTTTATATGGACTGTGGTACATCTGATCTGACCATAAGCACACACCTATGAGTGAATTGTGTGCCTTCTGGCAAAACCCATTAAGATCTAAAGTTGTGAAAATGCAATGTAGCTTTTATGAGGTATTATGTTATTATTTGAATTTCCCCATTACAAGATATTACACATTCTGAACATTTTGATTCCATCTGGTTAATGTGTGGGGAAGGTGGATAAATACATTTATATATATATGTATATACATATCTCTGTATGTGGGTGTACGTAAATTTTTACACACAAAGGAATAAGAATTGAAACATCTCAAATTCCTCTACTATGGCGAGCTGAAGGGCTTGCCTATAATGCATTCCCTCCTCATTTTACTCACCTTTTAAAAAATTTTTTTTAAATTTTATACTTAAATACTAAAATTCAAATGCACAATAAGAAAGGAAAAAACACACATTGTAAACTTGTGTTAAAACTTAAATATAAAGTAAGAAAAAAAAGCATGTCATGAGCACAGCAGAACATAAGAGAGGATTTAAAATATATAGCAATAAATTTCCATTTAAAGAACACCTATGTAATAAATGCTACACATTCTGTTGAGAGCTGTCCATCTTTTCTTTGCTTCCTTGTAAGTTTTCTTTTGTTCTCTGCTGTACACTTCTTTGTTCTTTTTCCCTCCTTCTTCCCTCCTCCCCCACCCCAATGCTATAATTAAGCATAGATATATTTATGTATAGATATAGATATGTACATATACATATATGTATATACACATCTATACACATACACAGATGCTTTCCCTAACAGATTGTACTCCTAATCTTTGTTTTTATACTTGTGTGTATTTATTTCCTATCCCTCCTGATTCCTCCACTTTATTATTTCCCACTACCTTGACCTGCTATTACTTAACCTCCCTCTCTCTAAAGATCCTTCCCTTATCCTCTCTTTCCTCTCTATCCCCTTAATGTTTTATTTCTTTCTAAATTTGGAAGACTTTTATACTCTTTTATATATATATGTATGCATATGTGTGTGTGTGTGTGTGTGTGTGTGTGTGTGTGTGTGTGTGTGTGTGTATTGTTCCCTCTTGCACCCATTCCCATTGAAGGGAGGTTTCTAGAACTACTAGCCCCCTCCCCCATCTAATCCCTCGGTGTCACTTCTTCCTCTTGAACTTCATTTGTATAAGATAATTACTCTCGTTAGTGGTTCCTAAATGCTTTTACTTTTTGAAGTCATATCATGCTCTGGTCTACCCCAATCTTTCTTATGAACTACTCAATTACTAATAACCACGTTAGACATAGATTTTACCTTTTAATAAAAGGTAAACATTCTGTCCTTATTGAGTCCCTTGTAACTGGTGTTTCATGTGTACCTTATGTTTCTCTTGTTTTTTGTGTGTGTCAAATCTTTTAAAGTTTTGAATAAAAAGTTTGAACCTTAAGTTCAGGCATTTTTTTTTAAAAACAAAGCCTGACAATTCATTATAGTTTCTTTTTTTTTCCAGTCAGAGTTGTTCTTAGTTTTGCTGGCTTTGATATTTTCAGCTGGAACTCCAGCTCTTTCGCTCTTCGATAGATAGAGTTCTAAGACCTGCAATCTTTCAGTGTTACCACTGCTAGGTCTTGTGTGATAGTTTTAATTGTGGCACTGACATAGGTAAATTGTTTTTCTTGTTGCTTGTAATATTTTATCCTGGAGCTGGGGGTTTCAGAATTTTCCTATAGTATTTCCATGGGTTTTTCTCCTAAGATCTCTTTTATGTGGTGATTGGTGGATTTTTTTATTCCTATTTTCCCTTCTTGTTCTAATGTTTCAGGACAATCTTTAATTATTTCTTGTATTATTGTATCAAGATTCTTTTTTTTGGATCATGGCTTTCAGGCCGTCTGATCATTCTTCTGTTTTCTCCTCTTCATTTGTTCTCCACATCAGTGGTTTTTCTCATTAGATGCTTCACACTCTCTTCTATTTTTTCATCCGTTATATTTTGTTTTATTATTTCTTGATCTCTTATAACTTTGCTGGCTTCCCCCTGGCCAATTCTGATTTTCAAGGAGTCATTTTCTTCCCTAAAATTTTGGATCTCCTTTTCTAATTGGTTAACTTACTTTTCATAATCTTGCTTTCCTTGGATTGCTCTTTTTTATTTTAGTTTTTTTTTTTGGTCAGTCTCTCTCATTTGATTTTAAAAGTCTGTTTTTTTTTAGTTCTTTTATGAATTCTTTTTGGGCAGGTGACTGTTTCACAGGTGACTGTTTCAGGCAAAAGGGAGTTTCTTTGCTTAAGTATCCTCCTCTGAAGATGAACCCTGGTCTCCTCTATTCCCATAGTATCTCTTTTGGTTGGACTTTTTTTTGTCCTTTTCCTGTGCATTTTTGTTTTTTTGCAGTAGCTTGCTTTTTGTAATCACCTCCAGTCCTGGAGTATTAGGGATGGTACCTCTGGCCTCATATCCTTCTTCAGTTTTCCTCTCTGACCTGGAACTCAAACCAAGACCTCTAGCCTCCTATAAGTGCCCCAAGCCAGCAGGGTCTATCCCACTGCTTCTGTACTCACTGGGGATATGCTGGTTCCTCTTCACCTCCTGGATGTGTCTCTGAAGCACAGCTGGGTCTAGCTTTTCTTGTCAGCAGACATTCCCTGGATCTCCCCCAGCTCAGATAGCCAACTCCCCTCGCTGTCCCAGGGTAAATGTTCCTGTGGCTGGGCCCTAGGCAGCTTCCTAACCCAGCTAACCCCAGGACTTGTTGCTTGTTGTTCAAGCTGTCCCTAGCCTGAAGGGGTTTACTCTTCACAGGGAGGAAACCTCCTACTGGGATTTTTCTTCAGATCTTCTCCAATTGTCCCAGGAGGACCACTGTACTGCCCCTACTCTTATTTATTTTTACTGCTCTATGTTCACCCTCTGGTGCTTATTTTATCATTTTCGTGGAAGAAAATCTTGAAAGCTTGGAATTTTCTGGCATACTCTGCCATCTTCCCAGAATCCTTTCCTCATCTTTATTTTTACAGATGAACTCAAATATGAACATCTTTGGGTCCCATCCCTGGTCTCTCTGCCTATTAATGTTTTCTTTCATAAAACATTCTTAGATCACTTGGGCTCATTGCTCATTTCCCTTCTTGCCTCATTACTTCGTATGATCCCTAAAGCATGTACATAATATTCCACCATTAAGAACCAAAAAAATTTCATTTTAATTTTTGTATCTGCAGTGTCTGTCACAAAGCCTTACAATTAAAAGAGGCTTAACAAAAGTCTTTTGAATTGAATCAGCTAATCAAAGCTTACTCTGAAATTCTTCAGTCATTTCTCTTCTCCTTCCAATACTATACACATCAATTTAGGCATCCTACAAAGACCATGGAATTTTCCCTTTGGAAGGTACCTGCGCAGACAAAGCAATGCTTATTCCATCCTTCTTTTCATCCCTCTCTGTTCCAAGGGAATCTTGGATCTGGCCTCTAAGAAGTCTTGTTTGTTTTATTTTTCCTTTTTCTTCATTAATTTCCTCTACCAGTTCTCCTGTTCCTGGATTGGTGATCCACCACTTCCTTCCCAGAGAAGCTGAGGCTAAGGTCTTCCCCACAACCTCCTCTTTATATAGGAAAAGATAGTTGTAAAAGAGAAGGAATATAGTCAGCACAATGGAATTGTGATTGTCCCTTCCTTGTCCAGTTCAGATAAGAGTGATAGTCATGTCATGTATGTCCCCCTATTCCGTCTTCCATGGTTGCATCTTCTCACATACTTTAATACACTGTTCTCCTCATTCCTTCCCTGGTGTGTTGCCTTTCCCTCTTTTTTCCTTCCAACCACAGACACCAGAAAACCACACACAATCATTCTATTTATCTATTTTACTGCTTCTGTGACTCTTTGAGACATTTGTATTTTGAGGAGTCACTGGTTTCTTTTTCCTGTCCTGGAACAAAGGGACATCATGATCCCTGGCCAATTTGCAAAGCTGTATTTACCTATTTAGGATTCTCTTGGCAAAAGTTTTCCAATTTCTCTGCCAAGCTATTTATTTTCCCACTGGGGGCTCTCATGCCATTGACACACATGTCTTGCTTCATTTCTTCCAGGTACTCTCATAGTCGTAGCCAAAATGGATTTTCCCCTGAGGATCTACCTATACTTGTACTTGTCCAATTACTGTCTTCTAGTTTTACTTTGGTGCATCTCTGTATCTATAATGTTTCTTCTGAGCTTTCTGTCCTTCTTCTAGTTATTATTATCTCCAGCCTCAGTTTTTGATTTGGAACCTTGTTCCAGGATAGATTCTGCTGTGTCCTCCATTCTTACATGGGGTGGTCATGTGTTATGTGTGATCCTTATCTTGATTTTGGCAGCTCCTGTAAGGGCCTTTTGTACCCTCTTTTTATGCCTGAGATTAGGGTGGCGGAAAGCTAGAGTGTCCCTGGTCCAAGGTCTTTATTTGGTTATCCCCAGTCATGGTACTGTCGTGATCTTTTGCTCCCTTGGGGCTTCCCACACTGGGGACTCTGCCATCATCTTCCTACCTTTTTGCCTGAGCTCATGCTGGCTTCCTGGAGGGCCCTCTTTTCCATCATTGAGTTTTAGGGAAGTTGTTTTGTGCATTCTTGGTAGATGGTGCTTGAAGGAACAAACTAATTCTCTTTTAATTTCTTTACTATTGAAAATTAGGTGTACTATTTTTAGTAATTGTTAGAGTATGTATGAAATAAACTGGTTTCTTCTATTTGCTTTTACACTGCCACCTGAACTAGAACTCTCAAGAAATCTTCATTCTCTAGAAGATATGGTGCCTTGGAAAAGGAAATCTCAAACCTGTAATTACTCATGAGGCAACTCTTGAAGCTGCTCTTGCCCTGGAAATTTCTCCTCCCTTGGAGAAGGCAAGATTAGAGAATTGTGTCATTTGGAGAACCAAGTTACTTATTCTCTTCACCAAAGGTTGTGATTCAGGAATCAGTGTCCTTGGATTGGACCTTCAGACTTAGTGCAAACACATACCTTTTAAGGTCATATTCTTCAGCTGGAGCCAACTTTCTTTTTAAAGCTCATCAGGGTGGGACTGATCTTAGTCAGCCAATCCTTAGAAATTCTTTTTGTCTCATCTGTTGATGAGGCCAATGCCCTATTATCTCAGAAAGTTGACTGAGAAATTTTTTCAATTTGATGAGAGAT